GGGCCACTATGGATCGGAACTGACTCAGTGACATTTAACAACAACAACAACAACAATCAGTCAGAACTGACTTGATATCCATATTAGCTCTACTCTTATTTTCTTCATAAAGTCTTCCTCATAACAAATGACAGAGTGTAAGCTTCCTAATACACAAATCTGATCATTTCTCCTCTGCTCAAAATTCTTTTGTGACACTACAAAGCACACTTGATTAACTCTAGATACCTCTGATAAACAACTTTGTATCATTTTCCATCAGTCCTGCCATTTTACCTCATTGATACTGAATTACTGTATAGTTCCTTCATCAGGAGAGTGAAGGATGTGACTAATCTTATACCACCATGGTTGTACAAAGGCTGTTTTCACAGCCTCTGCAGTACCCTTCTTACCTTCGATAACCCCCTTCATTCTCCTCACAAACTCATTAATGCTTGAGCAGTACCCCATCTACAATAGCATCCCTAGCCTCCTATGCAGATTGAGGGGCTTTTTCTCTAGTGTTCCTTGCTATAATCTAAAAAATAACTAACTTGTTTTATAGTTGAATGCATACTTGTATGTCAATGGTCTGTCTCTTTATCTCTTTATGTGGCTCTCTCTACTAGATCATGAGCTTCCTGAAATCAGGAACTCTAAGAATTTCCACCACAGCATTCCAGGAGTATAGTGCTCAACAAACAGTTTATGAATGAGTATAAATCAATCAGCTAATGTTCACTCATACTTGAATAAGAATTTCACTTTTACAAGTTATCCTTAGACAATTCCTCTTAATAAGGATAAGAGACATCAAAGATTAAATAAAACTTGCGTAAAATGTTTTACAGTAAAAGGAAAAGAAGTACTGGCAAAGTCTATTAAAAGTCAATATTAAGTGATAGGTCCTCAAAATATATGACCTAGTGACAACCTTCAGGGCAGAGAGGTTATTACCTAAGAAGGGACATGAGGGAACATTCTGGGTGGTTTAAAATGTTCTATTATTGATTTAAAATGTATCAACATATATACTGAACCAAATCCCCAAAATTACTTACTGCCATTGAGTTGATTAGCTCATAGCTACCCTATACAGGACTTCTGAGTCAGTTTCATGTTCTCCCACTAAGTGGTTGATGAGTTTGAACATCTAGGCCAAATCCACAGCGCCACCAGGGTACCTGGGTTCTCCTAGGTAAATTCAGTTCTGGCTCCACAGAACACAACTTTATCCCTTCCATCTTCCTGTGCTCATGCCT